TGTGCGGGGGGTGGGGCGGGCGGGAGAGAGAGGTACCTTTGTTGAGGAATCTAAGGTTTCATGGCACAAAGGTTGAATTGGGGGGGACTATGATGTAGTGAGAGAAAATAGGATGTAGTGTGTGTGTGAATGAGAGAAAGAGGGAGGGGGAAAGAGAGAAAGAAAGAAAGAAACGTAAAGCATGGAAAAAAAATGAAAAATATAACCTATTTAATGAGAAGAATAATATTATATGATTTTAGAGAGATGAAGTTTATTAAGAAAAAGAAGAAATTGTTACATGGCCTAAACCCATTTTTAAGTGACAATTAATTAAGTTTTATTGATTCTTTTTGTATTACATGATAGGTAAAGATTAATTAATACCATACATATGTGATCATTCTTAACTATTTAAAAAATTCTCAACAATAAGCGATTATTTCTTTCCCAAAAAACAATTGGACAAAAAAGGTATTCTCGGAGGACTTGTTGAGGACTATAATTATATTGAAAACTCTTAATCAATTTGATTAAGTACTGAATTTAGTTCTCAAGTGAATGAGAACGAACTAGAATTGATCTCTTTGTACACTTTTTTAAACCCTAATCTCTCTTAATTTTGATTGTTTGGGAAAATTTTAATTGAGATAAAATATAACTATTGTAATGATCAAACACGAGAAACAAAATAATATATGAACAACAAGGCTTCCATGTCCACAAAGACAGTGTATTTTTTTTTATTGTTGTATAAACATTTCATTTTTCACAAGATTAAACAACATTTTGTTATATTTTTGGTAGTAAGATTTGAACTTCGTCTCAAACAAACAACAATCAAACACAAAACTAGACTCTAATAAAAATAAAATAAAATATAATATAATAAAATTAAAAATAAATGTCGAGACAAAATAAGAAAAAGCTTGAAGAAACAAACAGGCACAGACACTAGGTTTTCCCAATTTAAAAAAAAATCCACACGATCCAAGAGATTTGAGTCATCAGGAACGATAAC